AGCGGTTCACCCTTCCTCCACCACCTAGTTCGGAACTCCACCGTCTCTTTCCAAAAGCAGATAGTCATGCCCAATGCAAAAATCATCTCCGTGCCCATCAGCACATCAAAGTCTTCTGATTCTGAAATCCCGCATCTGATTCTGACAGGCGTCTCATGCTTCTCCCCTTTCAGCACCGTTAGTTCTATCGGAGTCCTCGTGCAGGGCATCCATTTTGACTCTCCTCCCTCTGCTGTCATCACTAGCATCCCCTTCATCACATGTCTGTCTGGTGCCCACAGTCCCAGCTTCTCGGCCATCCCCTTCCCTAGTATAACACTCTGTGCTCCGGTGTCTATGATGGCTGTCTTTGCCTTCTCCCCTTCTACCGCCAGCGCTCCATTCTGAATCAGCAGCACCGATGTTTGACATGCCAGCCGCTCCTGCGGGTGACGTGCAGCTGTGCATCTCTCTTCCTTCTCTTCCGGCTTTTGCCCCTTTTCCCGCTCCTTCCTCACCTGTTCCCTTCGCCCATCCTTGCCTCCGCTGCGCAGCCCCATCTCTTCTCTCCCTCTCCATGCCATGTATGCATGTTGCTCCTCATGGTCTACCTCATCATCCTCCCTCACTCCCCACGCCATAAGTGCGCCCTGCTCTTCCTGTGCTACATCTTCCTCCTCCTCATCCCTGGCATACATCCCTGCCTCTGCTTCACGTTGCGGTCCCAATGCCTGCAGCTGCGCTTGCAGCCGGCTGATCTGCTTCTCCTGCTCCTCCAGCTTCTTCTTTGCTGCTCCCTCTCGCTGGTAACAGTCCTTTGCTGCATGTCCACCTCTTCCACAGATTTCACACTTCGGTGCTTCAGGGCATTCCCGTCGCCGGTGCCCTGGTTTCCCGCAACTGTCGCAGTTTTTGCAGTCCTTGCGAATGTGCCCTGGCTGTCCGCATCTGTGGCATGTCCGTGTCTCTGGCCTACTCTCTCCTCGACCCACTGCCTTGTCTTTCTCTTCAGGTATGATCGCTGCTGCCCAAGTCGGCCCTCGGCCTCGCTCCATGGTCCTGGGTCGATATGCCTCATACTTTCTCTGTGCCAGCTCCATCTTTTCTGCCAACTCGAATACCTCATCCAGCGTTGTGTCTGCCCCCATCTCATACACCTTCATGCGCAGCCCAGTTCCCATGGTGTTGTCCAGCCCGTCCAAGAACTTGCTGACCAACAGGCCCATGTCTCCACACGTCACGTCCTCTGCCAGGTTGATCAGCCGGTTGTAATAGGTGAGCAATGACTCACTCCTCCCCCTTCGGAACTCCTGAAATTCCCTTATCTTTTCTGCCGTATGCCCGGGAAACTGCCGCTGCAGCCGCCTCAGAAATGCCTCTGTAGGGTCTTCCCCGTACCTGCCCGCCCTCTCAAGTAATTCATCCATCTTCATTCTGTACAACGTCTCTGCCTCCCCCTCCAGTGTATTAGGCAGGCTTAGGAAGAAATCCACCGCATCCATGCCGCTCCGCTCACACCTATATCTCACATTTCCCACTTGCATCAAATAATTCTTCAGTGTAGGCCCCACGCGCTGGTCTCCTGAGAACCGCGCCGGCACTTCCACCCGTGTGGCCATCGCTGCACTTCCACGCCCCTCACCCCATGACTCACTTGCTCCCCTTTCCTGCCTCCCTAACCTTCCTCCTCCTCTGGCTCGCTCGATCCCCTTCCTTGCTTCTCTGGCGCGCTCCATGCTATATGCCAGACCGCTGCCTACACCTTTGCTTCTGTGCTGACCCTGCCTTGCTTCCCATCGCCTTTCCTCCTCACCCTTCCTCCCTCGCCGATCTGGTGAGTAACTTGCCCGCGTCCACTCTTCCCTTCGCCCTTGGTGCCGCCAGCACTTCTCAGGTGTCGGGGAACGGGGAGCTCTCCTTCCCTCCTGCCCATAACGTTGGTCTCGGTGACGCCACTCCTCCTCCCATCTCCCTCTCTGTCCTTGCTGCAGATCACGTTCTGGCGAGCGTTGCCCGTCTCCATGTCTCTCGTCACGCCGCGTACGCGGATCCAGCGAGCGACGCTCGCTTCCCCAGCTCATACCCCGTTCTTGGTGCCGATCTGGCGAGCTTGACTCGCCTTCCCACTTCCTCTCCTGGTACTTGCGCAGATCTGGCGAGCGTGGCCCATTTCCCCGCTTCCCGTCATGGTAGCGATACGCAGCTGGCGAGCGCGATTCGCCCCCACACCTCCCTTCGTGGCGCTGGCGCCGATCCGGCGAGCGTGACCCGCTTCCCCGCGCTCCGTGATGCTGCTGACGCGGATCCGGCGAGCGCGACTCGTCTCCCCGCCTCCCACTGCGATTCCTCCACGAATCCGGCGAGCGCGATCCGCCTCCCTGCCTCCTGCTGCGATTCTTCCACGGATCTGGCGAGCGCGATCCGTCTTCCCGTCTCCCGCTGTGATGCCTCCCTGAATCCGGCGAACGCGACCTGTCTCCCCATCTCCCATCACGATGCTGACGTGACTCAGGCGAACGCGACCTGCCTCCCCGCCTTTCGTTATGGTGCGGGCGCAGATCTGGCGCGCGCGGACCGCTTCCCCGCTCTCCGTCATTCTGCTGGCGCAGGTCTGGCGCGCGCGACGCGTGGCCGCCCTGCTCCCCGCCGTGCGCCTGCTGTCCAGAAACGGGCGCTTCCTCACGCGCGCTTCGTACGGTGCCACTTCCGGCTGTCTCCTCCGCCTCGCCTGCCTTAGCAGGGTTTGCCTCCGTTGCTTCCGCAGGCATGTCGTGCTGCTCGCTTGCGCCCTCCTCCTGGACTCCGCCGCCAACATCGGCCACGTCGTCGCGCTCGACTCCCTGCGACGAGTCCGTGCTCTCGTCCACTCCTTCTCCGTCAGCATTGAGGTCTCCCTCTCGGCCCAAAAACAGTTCCTCCAAGCCTCGCCTGCGGCTCCGATCCTCGCGACGGCGGTAGCTTGCTTCCGGCGAGCGGTACGCTCCCGTCTCCTGACGATACCCACGATCGCCCCCCGCTCTGTGGCGCGGTTCCGTCCGCCACGGATCACTGTCCGCCAGGGCCGATCCCGATCCGCCCGCTCCTTCTCGTGCGGATCCGCCCGCTCGCCGCTCGTACGCGAGAGGCACCTGATCCGCGCGAAAGGCAGGCCTCCGCGGCGATCTCTCCAGCGATCGCCCACGCTCACGCGAGTGTCCGCGCCATGCGCGATCCTCCTCGCGATGACCATACGTCCTGCCATAGCGCAGCTCATACTCGTCCATCCTTGCACGCACGCACTCCTCCTTTTCTCTTGTTATGAAAGAGACAAAGCTCCCACCTCAAGAGTCCTCCCTGAGTGGTGTGTCACCTAGCCGTAGGATGAAGGTAACAACGATCCACTATATGAAAGAATAACAAGAGAAAAGCAACGAGTGAGTGGGTGTTAGTGAATTTACCTGTCCCTGGCTCGAAGCGTGCATTTCTCAATGTGCGCCTCGAGCCTGGTTTGGTTCATTCGCATTGGTTCCTTGGATTGCACCCCTCGGAGCTCTCCTACCAACTTCGCGACACTCTCCCTGGTTCCCAACTACCTACACCCCAAATGTTCATATTCGGTAATGCTACACCCCACACTACACCACAGCATCACTGGCACCTTATATGCACAACCGTGCATATTCGGTGACATCTTGCCATGCAGCTGCAAGCACCCTCTTGCCATGCAGCTGCAAGCACCCTCTTGCCATGCAGCTGCAAGCACCCTCTTGCCATGCAGCTGCAAGCACCCTCTTGCCATGCAGCTGCAAGCACCCTCTTGCCATGCAGCTGCAAGCACCCTCTTGCCATGCAGCTGCAAGCACCCTCTTGCCATGCAGCTGCAAGCACCCTCTTGCCATGCAGCTGCAAGCACCCTCTTGCCATGCAGCTGCAAGCACCCTCTTGCCATGCAGCTGCAAGCACCCTCTTGCCATGCAGCTGCAAGCACCCTCTTGCCATGCAGCTGCAAGCACCCTCTTGCCATGCAGCTGCAAGCACCCTCTTGCCATGCAGCTGCAAGCACCCTCTTGCCATGCAGCTGCAAGCACCCTCTTGCCATGCAGCTGCAAGCACCCTCTTGCCATGCAGCTGCAAGCACCCTCTTGCCATGCAGCTGCAAGCACCCTCTTGCCATGCAGCTGCAAGCACCCTCTTGCCATGCAGCTGCAAGCACCCTCTTGCCATGCAGCTGCAAGCACCCTCTTGCCATGCAGCTGCAAGCACCCTCTTGCCATGCAGCTGCAAGCACCCTCTTGCCATGCAGCTGCAAGCACCCTCTTGCCATGCAGCTGCAAGCACCCTCTTGCCATGCAGCTGCAAGCACCCTCTTGCCATGCAGCTGCAAGCACCCTCTTGCCATGCAGCTGCAAGCACCCTCTTGCCATGTAGCTGCAAGCACCCTCTTGCCGGCCTCCTCACTTGAAGCCATTTCCATCGATCGACTTCCCTCCCCTATCTCTCTTCCCTTCCTCCCTCCCTCCCCTCCCCCACTACCCCTCCCTCTCAAACACCTCAGCGTCAGTACGAGCCCTGCAGTTCAGTTTTAAGGTGTTTGAGCAAGTGCCCTGGGTGTTTGAGCAAGTGCCCTGGGTGTTTGAGCAAGTGCCCTGGGTGTTTGAGCAAGTGCCCTGGGTGTTTGAGCAAGTGCCCTGGGTGTTTGAGCAAGTGCCCTGGGTGTTTGAGCAAGTGCCCTGGGTGTTTGAGCAAGTGCCCTGCAGGGCTCGTACTGACGCTGCAGGTGCCCTCAAAACTAGACACCTCAGCTTCAGTACGAGCCCTGCAGCTGCAAGCGCCCATGCGCCAAGTGCACCTGTGAATGCATCAGATTTTCTCATCACCACCACATCTCTGTCCCTCTCTCAGTGTCAGTACGAGCCCTGCAGCTGCAAGGGGCCATGCGCCAAGTGCACCTGTGAATGTGAATGTGAACATTTCTTACCACCACTCCTCCTCTTCCACTTCCCCCCGCCTCCCTTTCCCCCTCTCCCTCTCAAATGCCTCAGCGTCAGTACGAGCCATGCAGCTGCAAAGGGCCATGCGCCAAGGCCACATGTGAATGCATCATGAGGGGTTGCTTCTGCGAGAAATACTGCGGGTGAGCGTTTCGAGAGATATCAAAAGCCTTCTATGCACCTAAAAGAAATCAAAGCCTCGCTTGCCCTTCTATCCATCCTGTCTGTCTGTTTTGTATCTTCACGTACCTTCTCTCTCTCACTCACTCACTCCTGCCCCGTCCTTTCACACATGTCCTCTTCTTTCGTGCCTCCCCGTTGATCCGCTTCCTCACCTGGCTTGTGTGCCGTTTTTTAGTCGACTCAAAAACTGAGTAAACTAAAAACACGACTCCTTTCACACATGTCCTCTTCCGTGCCTCTCACACATGTCCTCTTCCGTGCCTCTCACACATGTCCTCTTCCGTGCCTCTCACACATGTCCTCTTCCGTGCCTCTCACACATGTCCTCTTCCGTGCCTCTCACACATGTCCTCTTCCGTGCCTCTCACACATGTCCTCTTCCGTGCCTCTCACACATGTCCTCTTCCGTGCCTCTCACACATGTCCTCTTCCGTGCCTCTCACACATGTCCTCTTCCGTGCCTCTCACACATGTCCTCTTCCGTGCCTCTCACACATGTCCTCTTCCGTGCCTCTCACACATGTCCTCTTCCGTGCCTCTCACACATGTCCTCTTCCGTGCCTCCCCGTTGATCCGCTTCCTCACCTGGCTTGTGTGCCGTTCCCCTTCCGTCTTTCCTTCTCTATCACGTCTCCACCTGTGCCCAGGCTTGCACGAATCGTGTTTTGAGTCGACTCAAAACACGACTTGATCCGCTTTCTCATCTGGCTCATGTGCCATTCCCCTTCTGTCTTTCCTTTCCACATCTCCAGCTGTGCCCAGGCGTGCAAGAACCGCTTCAGCGGCTGCAACTGTGCCAAGAGCCACTGCTCCCTCACCTCACCTCACCCCAGACCACCCATCTCTCTACCTCCGGACTGTTCTTTATATCTCCATGCTCGTCCTTCCCTGTCCCACCTGCAGCTGTGCCCAGGCGTGCAAGAACCGATTCAGGGGCTGCAACTGTGCCAAGAGCCACTGCTCCTCGCGCCTCTGCCCCTGCTTTGCTGCATCCAGGGAGTGTGACCCTGACCTCTGTCGCAACTGCTGGGTTGAGTGAGTGCTCGTGCCTCTACTCTTGATCCTGACCCGAGTGAGAAGTCTTGAAAAGATTCATTGTTGGGTCGCAACTGCTGGGTCGAGTGAGTTTTTTCCCTTCATCTTGCCCTGAAACCCTTTTTTTTTTTTTTTTAATCTTCGAGGGTATTGCTGCCTGGTAGTTGCTTTCGCTGCTGCATTGGAGTTGTGTCTCTCAAGAGTGCGACCCAGAGCCGTGCCTAAATAGCTGTGAGGGAGGAGGTGACTTTTGTTTTGAGTCGACTCAAGAGTTTTACTTGTTAAAATGTTACAATGGCATTGTTCCTTGCCTGTCTGTGTCACATGTGCGAAGTTGCGGGGATAACCGCCAAGGGGCTGTGCTGCCACTGCCACCGCCTGTGAGGGAGGTGACTCTTGAGTCAACTTGAAAGTTAACTTGTTACAATGTTACAATTCTATTGTCCCCTGCCTGCCTGTCTGTGTCGCATGTGGGCAGCTGTGGGGATAACCGCCAAGGGGCTGTGCTGCCACTGCCACCGCCTGTGAGGGAGAAAAACTACAACTGCCACAACATGCGCTTGCTGCTGCGCCAGCACCAGCACGTGAGTGGGCCGTCTGTATCACCCAATCCCTTGTGGCTTGCATTGCACCAGCACGTGAGCGCCCCTAGGCAGATTTCAACCCCCTTTCTTTCCCCGCCTCACCCTCGTTCCCTCCCCCTTTCCACCTTTGTAAACTCGTTTCGTCTCACCTCCCCCCCTCTGTACCCTAGTTTCTTCCCTTTTCCTGTAACCCCCCCCCTGTAACCTGGTCACCTCCCCTCTACCTGCCTGCAGATTCTACTAGCCCCCTCGGACGTGGCTGGCTGGGGTGCCTTTCTCAAGGTGAGTGGTTTTTCGTTTCTGCACTGGAGGGTTACGGTATGGTACTGTGTGGTACTGTATGGTATTATGTGGTACGGTAGGGTAATGTGTGTTATGGTATGATAAGTTGTAGCATTGCATGACAAGGCAGAGCATGCTGTGATGTGATATGGTGGTCCTCATGTCTGCACAATTGGTTTGACTTTTGAGAATTCTCAAAAGTCAAACCAACAAAGCACTGCATGACCTGCATTCTCAGAATAACATGGTAGAGCACGGTGTGATATGGTGGTGCTCACTCGTGTCTGCACAATTGACCTGCAGCAGAAGTTGAAATGAAATGACGTCCGTGAATTGACATCCTCGAGTCATCCGAATCAACACAATTGCCACTGGAAAGATAAACATGTGATGTGCTGATGTGTGGTGCTGTGCTACACTCCCCTGCTCTGTGGTGTTGTGTGCTGCCGCATGCTATGCGGTGTGGTGCGGTAATGTGCGATTCATGAGTCGGGTGAAAGTGAGAGTGCTGAGGAGTGCACATGTGAGCTCATAACAGGGCACACTCATTTGCTCATACTGTGCTCTCCATGTTATTCTGTGCGATGTTGTGTGGTAACATGTGGTGATGTGTGGTGCAATGCGGAAACATGCGGTGCTGTGCGGTGCAGAAGGAGGTGGCGAAGAACGACTACGTGGGGGAGTACACAGGCGAGCTCATATCAGAGGCGGAGGCAGAGAGGAGGGGCAAGATATACGACCGCATCAATTGCTCCTTCCTGTTCGATCTCAACAAAAAGGTCCGTCGATTGATGTGCTCTGAGAATCTATTGGTGAAACCATAATTTCTTGGGCGATCCCGTGAGGGGCAATATCTACGACCGAACCAACTGCTCTTTCCTCTTTGATCTCAACAAGAAGGTCAGTTGTTGCTGCATTGTGACATTGTATTTTGAGTTGCCTCAAAAGAGGCCGAGAGGAGGGGCAAGATCTACAACCGCACCAACTGCTCCTTCTTGTTCGGTCTCAACGAAAAAGGTCAATTGATGCGCTGTGCCCTTTCGAGTTGTTCTGGCAATGGTACCAGTGGAGTTTTATTTTTGTAATTGTATTCTCCCCCACTAAGTATCAATTCTATGTTCCTCACCCCCCCTGCCCCCATCCCCAACCCCAAACAATTTACCCCCTTACTTCCAGTATGTGCTGGATGCGTTTCGTCGAGGCAACAAGCTAAAATTCGCCAACCATTCGCTTTCGCCAAATTGCCATGCCAGGGTGAGTGTGATTTAATGAACCTGGAAACCTTATGCAGTCTGCTTCGAAGCTGCATCTTTCTTATTGCTAATGAAAGTCTTCTTTTGCATGTGCGGTGCGGTTTCTCAGGTCATTATGTCTGGTGGTGATCATCGAGTGGCAATTTTTGCCGGAGAAAGAATTGAATCTGGGAAGGAGTTGTTTTACGACTATGGATATGCATCTAATTGCACGCCTTTATGGGCACTCAAGCTTGGAACAGCAGCACGTAGGACAGGCGGTCCAGGAGGAAGCTCGAAGACCACTAGAAAAGCTCAAAAGGCTTCTTGAATATGAAAAGGCTCGTTTTCTTTAATCATACTGATGCAATGTATGGACTACGAATCCAATTCTACCACCTGTAACAGTGTGACCAATGTTGATAAAGGTTTCGCTCAGGTTCAGGGGCTTCGGTTACAATCAGGTGTTCTAATGTGACGGTTGCAGACACTGTTGAGCAGTCCGAACCGCCTGTGATGTCACACCAACCTGAAGGTTCAATGGTTAGGGTAAATTGCGCTAGCAAGTCGAGATGGAAAGTTTTCTACTCCTCTTTCTCAACAAAGTAGAAAGTTTCACTAGACTGGAATATGTTTCGAGATCAGCCTTTGTATTCCGAGCTGCAGTCCCCAGAGTGATTGAATTGAGAACATAGAAATGACAACCCCTTCGGTGCTAGAAAGGTTTTGTAAGCAGATATTCGTAACTGTATCCCACAGGATACACTTTCCGTGTGGAGGAGCAGGTTCTGTAGGCTCCGACCAGGTGGAAACCTACAGTTTGCGAATCACTCACCTCAACCACAATAACGCGTCTCCGTACCGTACTGTACCTGATATCTCACTACAGCACACCTTCCACGTTTCATTTCACTGGTGCGGGCAATTTTGATATGATGAGCCCAGGGATAGTGCTCACAGCCATGGGTGTGAGGAGGATCTCAGAAGAGTTGGGTTGGGTGGGATGGGATCGGACTCTCCAGACGGGCAGGCTGGTCGGGCAGGGGCTACAAGGCGACCAACAAAAACTGTACACCAAGAAGGAAATTCCGAAGGGGAGACAGGAAGGCAGGGCAAGAAAGTTAACTCCAAGGAGCTACTTGCAGTGCCCAGAAGAGAGTAGAGGTACAGCAGGCAGCAGCTCGTATCAGGAGGACTCGAGGAGACAAGCTCTTGGTTGCTCGCCGCGCCACATTCTCGTTATCGTGTGGTGATAGGGCCACATTCGCCTAGCAGGCACAAAATCAGGTCCCATGATGTCGCAGTGATAGGCGCGCGCATGGGGGCATCTCATCCCCGCGGACGCTCCGCCAGGATATCCCCTGCTAGTTGGAGATCCACGATGGTTCCCGCCACTGGCGCGCGTAAGCGCCTCCCGCCAAGTTCTCCTTCCGCCCATCCCCCGCGAATCTTTTTCCCCGCTTCCGCCCACGCTTCCGCCCGCGCTTCCGCTGCCACGCCCTTCACCTCGATAATGTCCGCGATACTGTTGTCCTCGTTACTGTTCGCCGCATTACTAGTCACTCCAGCGGTAGCCCAGGGGACAGATGCGGCCTCCCCCGGCTGTACCGTCTCCGCGTCGGCGGTATCCTGCCCGGCGGGACTTGGGGGCCGCGCATTTGCGCTCAACGCGCAAGCTTACATCGCGGGCGCAGGCCGAGAAAACGCGCTCGTCCTGGGCGCGGGCGGAACCGCGGATAAGGGATCCGCGGGTTCCGCATTCACTATCGCCGTGCTCTCGCCTCCGCTCGGTGGCGGAGGCTCCTTTTCGGCGCGCTTCACGTTCCAGCTGGAGGGGCAGAACGAGGCTGACGTGGCAACGGGGCTTGCTTTCGTCATCATTGGCGGAACCAACACCGCTGTCGGATCGCCTAGGTGAGATCCAGCATTCCCCATCGTCGCTCTTATCCCCTCTCCTCCGCCGCCATTGTCTCCCCTTTCCCCGCCTCCCCGGCCCATTGTTCCTCTTTCCCCCGCTTCCTCTTTTCCCCGCTTCCTCTTTCCCCCGCTTCCATGCCGTGCCCCTTATCTGACCTTGCCCCTCCCCCCCCCAAGCTCTCCCCGTGTGGTTTCCAGTGCGCTCATCCATGCCCTCCCCTGTGCGCTCGTCCATGTGTCCCCCCATGCGCTCCCCCATGTGTCCCCCCATGCCTTCCCCCGTGTGTCCCCCCGTGCGCTCCACCGTGCGCTCCCCCGTGCGCTCCCCCACGCATCACCCACCCCACCCCCGTCCTCCACTCCCCACACAGCTCTGCCGGCTACGGCGGCGCCGCCTTCGATGCCAGCCTGGCAGTGGTGATCAACGGCCGCCCGCCCATCTCTGCCGGCCTGCTGCTGGGCGGCAAGGCGGACGGCACTGCCGGATGGGCGGCTCTCAACCCCTCCGCGCCTGACGCACCCCATGTAAGCTGAGCGTGTAAGGAGGGAGAAAGGGAGGGTCCGCGCCATCTACGATGAGCGTGTGGGGGGAAGGGAGAAAGGGTCGTGTCCCCATGTCCGATGAGGAGGGGGAGGGAGGGGCGCAACCCACGTACGTACGTGACTCGAGGGCTACGTGTGTTCGTGAAACACTGCTGAGAAATTCCAACAGTGCTCTCCTAAACTCCCCCTTTTTGCCCCTTCCCTTTCCCACCTTCCCCATCCCCCTCTCCCCTCCCCCAGCTCCTGGTCCCGGGGGTGCAGCAGCACGCCTGGGTGGACTACGACGCCTCCCACTCCTCCCTTGTTCTCACTATACCCATTCCTTACCCCATACTGTCTGTTCCTCTTCTACCCCCACTCTCTTCCCCCCCCCAGCTCCTGGTCCCGGGGGTGCAGCAGCACGCCTGGGTGGACTACGACGCCTCTAGCACCACCCTCCGCCTCTTCCTCAGCGGCTCCTCCCCCACCAAGCCTGCAGCTCCGGTGCTCTCCGAGCCTGTCAACCTGGCTCGGACGCTCGGCTTGGCCGCAGACGGCAGCTGCCCAGATGGCATTGGCGAGGCGGCGGTGGGCGGCGGTGGTTGTCTGTTTGTGGGGTTTACGGGAGGGTCGGCAGCAGTGGATACAGTTGAGCTGGCAGCAGCGGGAGTGGTTCCCGGAGGGGAGCTCATCCAGACCGTTGACTCGTTTGACTTCAAATTCCTCTCCGCCGGCGCTACAGCCGGCGCTACAGCCGGTGCTACAGCTGATACTGCCACTGCAACCTCTGCCGATGCTACCAGCACTGAGTCACGCCTCCCCCGCTCGGCAGATATCAGCAGTGCAACGGTGGCTTCCTTCGGAGCCACAGACCCCTCTGCTGCAGGCGGCGGTCTCTTCTCAGTCGCCTCTGTCGATTCCAGCTCTGGCACTGGTGGTCTCACTGCCTCTGCCGCCCCTGCCCCTGCCCCTTCCGCTAGCTCCCCCTCCTCCTGCAACGTCACTGCCACCAGCATCTCCTGTGCTGGTTTTTCCTCTTCTTCCTCCTCCTCGCCCTTCTTCATCCTCTCTGGGGATGCTCAGATCGGGCCCGGACCGAACTTCCCCATCTGGCTCGACACCACCACCAATGCTGCAGGCTGCGCCTTCTCCATCCCGAGCCTCAGCCTCAGCCTCGGCACCGGACCGGTGGCGTTTGAGGCGGCGTTTTCGTTTTCGTTTGCGGCGAGTGCGGATTACAACAGCTGGGGTAGTCGAGGGCTGGCGTTTGTGCTCACTGCCGGGGAGAAGACCGCCTGTGGCCGCAGCTCCGCCAGGTGAGGAGCGGTGGGGAGGGATAGGGTGTGGTAGCACTGATCCGTGTCACAGCTCCCAACACGGATCTCCATTTGCCCTGACTCTTCCCTCTGCTGCCACGTTCCTATTCCCTCTGATTCCCGTCTTCCGCCCCCTCTTCCCATCCACCACCCGCACCCCCTCCCTCTTCCAACCAGCAACATAGGGTATGGATCAGCCCCTAACGCGTCGTTCGCAAATAGCATAGCAGTGGAGCTGAGAGCGCGGCCGACGGCGTGTGTGGCGGTGGTGGTGGGCGGGCAGGTGGCCGGCGACAACTGTGCCGACTCCGATGCCATGGCGCTGCTGCCGCCAGGGCAGGTAACACCTGGTTGGGTAGAGCTGCCTACTCAGGTAACAACTGTGCCGACTCTGATGCCATGGCGCTGCTGCTGCGCAGCCAGGTAACGCCTGCTCAGGTAGCGCCCGGTCGGGTTACGCCTCGTCGGGTGAAACCTGCTGCGGTAACTCCTCCAGGGGTAAGGCCTGCTCGAGTAGGGTTAACACCTGTTGGGTAAGGCTTTTTTTCATTGGCCCCTACACGTTGTTTTTTATTAGAATTGCTTTGCGTCATTACTTTGGCCAAATGTGTGGTCTCGAGTTCAATTCCCACTGTGCACCATGATTAGTGCCTGTCTAAGTCAACCCCGGTGAAGAGGATGCCTCTTGCACGTCATCCTAGGTCTTGCAGGCATGCTCTCTCCCTTATCGTCATACGTCCTTAAAGCCCAGTGGTTAGCAGTCCAGCTGGTCCAACACCAAGCCCCACTTTCCCGTAACCCCCACTCCCCTGCTCCACCCGCCCCCCCTGCTCCCTC